TTCAGCTTAGCTTCAGCTTAGTGTTAGCTTAGTGTTAGCTTAGCCTTAGCTTAGCTTGAGCTTAGCTTGAGCTTAGCTTCAGCTTAGCTTCAGCTGAGCTTTAGCTTAGCTTCAGCTTAGTGTTAGCTTGGCTGCTGCTTAGCTTTAGCTTAGCTTCAGCTTAGCTTTAGTTTAGCTTCAGCTTAGTGTTAGCTTAGCTTTAGCTTAGTGTTAGGCTTCGCTTTAGCTTAGCTTTAGCTTAGCTTTAGCTTAGCGTTAGCTTAACTTTAGCTTAGCTTTAGCTTAGCTTTAGCTTAGCTTCAGCTTAGCTCTAGCTTTAGCTTAGCTTTAGCTTAGTTGTAGCTTAGCTTTAGCTTAGCTTCAGCTTAGATGTAGCTTAGCTTTAGCTTAGCTTTAGCTTAGCTTTATCTTAGCTTTAGCTTAGCTTTAGCTTAGCTGTAGCTTAGCTTTAGCTTAGCCTTAGCTTAGCTTTAGCTTAGCTTTCGCTTAGCTTCAGCTTAGCTGTAGCTTAGCTTTAGCTTAGCTTTAGCTTAGCTTTAGCTTAGCGTCAGCTTAGCTTTAGCTTACCTGTAGCTTTAGCTGTAGCTTCAGCTTAGCTTTAGCTTAGCTTTAGCTTCGCTTCAGCTTAGCTTTAGCTTAGTTTTAGCTTAGTATCAGCTCAGCCTTAGCTTATATTTAGCTTAGCTTCAGCTTAGCTGTAGCTTAGGTTTAGCTTAGGTTTAGCTTAGCTTTAGCTTAGCTTTACTGTTACTACTAATGCTGCTTTCCTAGGGGCTCCAACTCCTAGGTAGGGTCGCACTGGGATAATTTTTTCGTGTTTCTTGGATGTTCAAATTCGTTTTTTTCTCCGCGGGGGGGGGGGGGGGCTTGGGGCCGCGACGGGGGAAGGCTCGCGCCCTGCTCAGTGGGCGCCCAGCGAACGCTCAGTGGACGCTCAGTGGACGCCCTGGACGCCCAGTGGACGCCCACTGGACGCTCAGTGGACACTCAGTGGGCGCCCAGTGGACGCCCAGTGGACGCCCAGTGCACGCCCAGTGGACGCTCAGTGCACGCTCAGTGGACGTTCAGTGGACGCTCAGTGGACGCCCAGTGGACGCCCAGTGGATGCCCAGTTGACGCTCAGTGGACGCTCAGTGGACGCTCAGTGGACGCTCAGTGGACGCTCAGTGGAAGCCCAGTGGACGCTCAGGGCGCTCAGTGGACGCTCAGCGCACGCTCAGTGGACGCCCAGTGGACGCTCAGTAGATGCCCCACCCATTTGGACGCCCCTGCGAATGTCGAGGCGTCGCCTCCCTGTCCCCTCTCTCACGTCTCTCTCACGTCTCTCTCTCTCTCTCCCTCTCTCTCTCTCTCTCTATCTCTTTCTCTCTCTTCCTCTCTCTATCGTTTCTCTGTCACTCTCCCATGTTGCTTTCCTTATCTACAACGGATGGGGTCATTGCTACCATTGTGACCGCGCGGACCTTCCTGTCGCACCTCTTCCTCCATTCTCCTCCCCCCTGCTGGTATGCGATGCTGTTGTATGTTTTGGTGCATGAGGTTATGTTTTGTTATGTTGTGAAAATGGCGATGATGGTGAGGATGCTGATGATGGTGATCATGGTACTGATGATGATGATTATGATGGTGATGATGATGACGATGCTGATGGTGGTGATGATGATGAGCATGATGATGGTGATGATGATGCTGCTGCTGCTGACGATGATGATGTTGTCGATGCGAGTGAGGGCGCTGATGATGATGATGCTGATGACGGTGATGACGCTGGCGATGCTGATGGTAATGGTAATGATGTTGATGTTGGTGATGATGATGTTGCTTGCGATGATACAGATGATGATAACGATGACTATGACGATGATGGTGATGCTAATGGCGGCGATGCCGATGCTGATGCTGATGATAATGATGATGATGATGATGATGATGATGACGATGATGATGATGATGATGATGATGATGATGATGATGATGATGATGATGATGATGATGATGATACTGACGACGATGACGATGGCGATGATGATGGCGCTGAGGATGGTGATGCGTGTGATGATGATGAGTATGAGGCTGATGATGATGATGATGGTGATAATGATGCTGCTGCTGATGATGATGCTGCTGATGATGATGGTGATGCTGGCGATGAGGCCACAAGAAACCCTACGAGGCCACAGGGGCCCCCATGAGGCTCCAGGAGGCCCCAGGAAGCCCCAGGAGGTTTCAGGAGGCCCAAGGAGCCTCCAGGCTCACCCGCAGAGACGCGCTCGTACTACTGGGACTCGTTCACGCCCCAACGCATTCACAATGTGATTCATTCCCAGACCGTGTATACCCAAGCCCGCTCTATTGCTGTCGGGCAGTTGTTAACGCGGCAGCGTTGCAATCGTCTTGGACGCACATAGGTCCGCCTTCCTTCGAGGCGCGGGGGAAAGGGGCGATGCGGCGGAGGAGGAGGAGGAGGAGGAGGAGAAGGAGGAGGAGGAGGAGGAGCTGGATGAGAAGGGGTGAATGGAGAATCGGCAGAAGGAGGAGGAAGACGAGCAGGATGGGGGTAGGAGGGTGGGAGAGGATGGTGACGGAGAAAAGGGAGATGTGGACGAGGAGGAAGAGGGAACATGAGGGAGGAAAAAGGAGGAGGTAGAGGGGGGAACGAGGGACGAAAGACGAGGGGGGAGGAGGAGGAGGGGGGAAGGATGATATGTAATGAAGGAAGAAGAGGAAGGGTCAGGAGGAGAAGAAGGAGGAGGAAGAGGAGGAGGAGAAGGAGGGAGGAGGAGTGAAGGGGACTCTTGTGAGTTGGGTTGCGCACCCTTGAAAATTCGGATGGGCGATTGAACAGTTACGAACTAGTTACGATCTAGTTACGATCTAGTTACGATCTAGTTACGAACCAGTTAACATACACTTATAACCAGGCTCACACTTAGCTCCGGAGTTGTATGTTCGTGTGCATGTTGTGCCACATTTAGGATGTGGCCTCCAAGTTGAGATATATGTATCGCAACTGTATGTTTGTTAAATCGTGCGCAACCCAACTTACAACTGGTCAAGTTGCGGCGACCGCAAAGCGGTTCCCGGTTCCCGAATCCTGATTCTTGGTTCCCGAATCCCGAATCCTGGTTCCCGGTTCTTGGTTTCTTGTTACACGTGTCGTTGCAGACCCGCCAGAAATTCAGAGCACACGACTCCGGCGCGGCAGATGGTAATGTTCGGCTCCCCTCCCTCGCGAAGACAGCAACAGTGTACGGTAGGAAGCAGAAGGCAAAACCGCAACACTGGAGACTGGAAGGTGGAACTGCGCTGCTACCCCTGACGACAACGACGACGACGAGGAGGACGATGACGACGACCACGGCAACGACAACGACGGCGACGGCGACGGCGACCCGCCAAGGTGCTCAAAGACCATCCAGCAAGGCCTGTCGGCGTGATTCCCGAGCGTGAGGGCCGAGGCACGTCGGTGCGCTCGGCCCTGCGCCTCTGCAGGAGCTTGCGGTAGGCTCAGTCCTGCAGCGACGGCACGCCTGCGACGCCGGCGAAGGCGTTCGAGGGCTGAGTACTGCGACGCAGAGCCACCGAGGGACACGGTGGCGCCACTGGACCCGATGGCATCCAGCCTTGAACGATCGGGGCCGCGACCGATTCAAGTCAGGAGGGGAAAGAAACACACAGACACAATGAATCGCCGATCCCCTGGAGAATACGGTAAAATATGGGAAGTGGGGGGGAAGACGAGCACCCAGGAAATATGGAAAAGTCTGGGGAATCCTGGGATTTGTGTGTATCTGTTTGTGTGTCCCTGGACCCCTTCAAGGTTGAGCGATCGACGCGGCGTCCAAGACCTCTGCGCGCCCGCCGGCGCGGCACGAGCCTGTCGTACTGGAGACAGCGCAGGGAGCTGCCCCTATCTCTGTCCAGGAGGGCGATGCATCCCACAGTCTTCTCGCCCTTTGCGCCGCAGCCCTCGCACTGTTTCCCCCCCAGTGCCAAGTTTCATGGTCAATTGTCCCGTGGGTCGAATCGTGTGCGGACGCATGGCGCAATCTCATGAACTCTGTGGGATTGCTTGCAGTCGCGGTGGTCTGTCCAGTTGGGGGAAGAAGAGGAGCCCTGGAAGACAAGGGTGCCGTGACTATTTGGACGCGCGGTTCCCTGACACTCTTCGCTCACTCACGAGGCGCGCGCGCGTGTCTGTTTTCGCGTGTCGCGTAGACTGTGAATTCCAGTGCTTCGTGGCTGTATCTCGCGAGTGTCTTATTAAACAATGTACGGTTAAGCACGTTCGCATTTTTTAGTCATTATACATTTTGCATCGACATGTCTTACGTTTCTTAAATACATTGATAAATGCATTAATGCACGACACGTTAAACTATGTTTAGACATTAAACGCGTGTGTTTATACACAGTTTCAACACGCTCATACATGTCACGTTGAAGCGCGTTGGTAGATGTTGCATTTCCTAGGATATGTAATCATGACTCGTAGGAAATGTAAACATGAGGCGGGCGAGGAGTCCCAGACGTGCGGATGATAAAGCGGAGGAGAAGCAGGAAGGGACGATTAGAAGGAGCATGTCGACGACGACTGCGATGACGGCGACGACGACGACGACGATTCCCTTCCTCATCATCTTGTTCCTTCGTCTTCTCCTCCGCCTCCTCCTTCCCCTTCACCCTCCTCGTAGATGTGGGCAGGATGGGCGCCCAAGGGGAGGGGGAGAGAAGGAGGAGGAGGGGGCAAGTAGGAGGGAGAGGGGTAGGATGAGGAGCAGCAGACGACGACCACGCCGACGCCGCCTCCGACGACCACGACGAAGACGAAAACGAAGACAAACAAGCCGATGCCGACGACGGCGACGGCGCCCACGCCGCCGACAACGACGGCGAGGACGCCAACGCAGATGTCGCCGGCAGCGACGTCGACGACGACGTCGACGGCGACAGCGGCAAGGCCTCCGCCTCCCCGCACGAGGGGGGGGGGGGGCTGGCGGACTCTCGGCCCGCTGGGGGGCAGAGCGCGGGGGAGCTCCTCGAGAGCGCCCTGCGCCCGGTCGCAGCAGGAGCGTGGGCGGGAGGGGGAGTTCAAGCGAGGAGCGGGAGAGGATGGGGGCAGGAAGAGGAGGAGGAGGAGGAGGAGAAGGAGGAGGGGGGAGGAGGAGGCGGAGGAGGAGGAGGAGGGGGAGGAGGAGGAGGAGGAGGAGGAGGAAGGAGGAGGAGGAGCAGGAGGAGGAGGAGGAGGAGGAGGAGGAGGGAGGAGGATCTTTTTCGGGATCTTGTTCAGCCGTGAGCACCCGCAATAGGGCAGAGCAGCGGGCGCTCGCTGGCACCTTGCAGACTGTTCTGCGTAGCAGTCCCTGATTTGGGATGGTGCCCCTCCCACAAGCGCGCTCAGCCTACCTCCCCCCCCTCCTCCTCCATCCTCACCTCCTCCTCCTCCTCTCACCTCCTCCTCCTCCCTCCTCCTCCTCCTCCTCCTCCTCCTCCTCCCCCTCCTCCTCCTCCTCCTCCTCCTCCTCCTCTCCCGTATTCTGGATGGTCTCGGGCACGTGGCGCATTACACATTCTGTATAACATGATGTTGGCCGTGATGCAGGGCTGCGCCCCCCCTCATGACCTCAACCACGCATGGCTCCAGTTTGCCCCGAAGGCTGACGGGACGCCCTCGGCGGCGGAATGCACCCGCGAACCGGGTAAGACGCGACCACTGGCTCTCAAGAACAGCGACGCCAAGTTGCTGGCCTCGACTGCGAACATCTACCTGGCCAAGGTTGCTGAACGGTATGTTCCGCACGTCCAACGAGGATTTGTACGTGGCCGGAACTTCCTCAACAACGTGTGGAAATTGGACGGACAGGCTCGAATTGCATCGCTAGGCGAGGCGGCTTCGTTACGACGCCGACGGCCCTGCTTTGCCTCCTTCGACGTGGCGGCGGCCTTCCCGTCTCTCGCGTGGCCGTGGCTTTTCGCAGCCATTGAGCAGTTCGGCATCCCTTCGACATACATCAACCTGATCACTGCCCTGTACAACGAGCAGCACTGCTGGACCCGTTTGGGCGCCAATTCGTGCTACCTCTGTCAAGTGCTGACGGGGGTCGCTCAAGGCTGCCCTCTTTCGGGCACGATCTGGGCCCTCACTACCGCCCCCTTTGTCGAGGCCATGTCAGGAGCTCTCGGCCTATCCTCGCGATCCCTGCTGGCTCGCCCGCGACGCGAGGACCTGCTGGTTGGACCAGGCCGCGACGCAGAGCTCGGACTTTGTGCTGACGATCTTGGGGTGGTGCTCTGGGAGCTGGCATCTATTCGTCCTCTCGCCCTGCACCTTGGTGCCATGAGCCGGTTGGCTTGCCTCTCCCTGCAGCCGAAGAAGTGCGTGTTGGTCCCGCTATGGCTGTCGACGGCCCAGCTTGCTCTTGCCCGAGACTCGATCCGAGCAGATCTGACCGAGTTGGTCCCGGAATGGCAAGATTTCACGATCGAGTCCGCGGCGAAGTACCTTGGATTTGTCCTTGGACCAGGTGCGACCCTCGAAGACTCCTGGCTGGAAGCCTCGAACAAGTACCGATCCCGGGTGGCCATCCTAAGGAGAACTCCCACGACCACCGTCGAGGTGATCAAGCTTTACAACACTTCTGCAATCACGGTGTTGTCGTACCTGTCTCAACTCCTCCCGCTTCCGGAAACCTTGCTAAAGGCGGAAATCGACGTATTGCACGGTATCTTGAAGGCACCTCCGAAATCGTTCAGCCTCTCCGACCTCTTCGGCATGAGTATGTGGTCTTCGTCTCCGACTTTATCTCCGTTGTTACCTTCGGCCTGGGCCGCAGCCTGGCGCACGGGAAACGCCACCCTCAGCGGCTGGAGGGAGTTCGCGGAAGCATGGAGAGAGCGCGTCTTCGATGACCTCGCGCCGGCGATGGCGATTGCAGGGAACTGGACTTCTGCCAATTGGGCTATGCCCCAATCCATGGTGCAATATCTCATCGCCGTCGACTCCGGCACGGTGCCGGCACCAAGCGAACGGCTCCGGCGTAAGAGGCAAGGAGCCCTGTTGCTGGCCAGCCGTGCGGCCAAGGCTGAGCTGCGGGAAGCTGCCCTCCACGACCGGCACCCCCGCCTCCAACGCGTTCACCGGGAGGCGGCCTCGGCCGCCCTCTACCCCGAGATGTTCCACGTCACGATTGCCAAGAGGATCAAGACTTGGTGGCCTCTGCTCGCACTTCCGGCAGATCTGGCGGGCCGGTGGCGGCGCCTTCGTCACCAGCTCTCGGTTTCTTCCCTTGGCGTATTGTGGGCAAACTACCGCACGCTGGCCGGAGCCTGGCCTACGTCCTTCTGGATGCACGTCGGCATCCGCCATTTCCCCTGCCGGTTCGGTTGCGAGGGCTGCAACGACGAGATTGCTCACTACCTGACCTGTCGCGGGGCCTGGTAGGCGGTCTGCCAGGCGACGTGGTCATTCGCGCACTCGTCTGTGCTACACAGATTGGGCCTCGGCGAAGAACAAGCATACCAAGACGCCGAGGATGTGGAGAACAACCTGCCGCTGACTGTAGCACGGTTGGCGCGCCTCTACCACATCCACAACATTCTACGCCACCGTCCGGGTGCACACGCCCAACCACCTGACGCGGCAGTCGCGGCTGCGAGGGTCGCGGCGCAGCGGGTCAAGGTTCCACCGTCGACAACTACTTCTACAGCCACTCTGAGCGGCCCGGCGCGCCGCCGCTGAGCCCGTGCACCCTCTGGTGGTACGGGCGCTCCTCCTCCTCCTCCTCCTCCTCCTCCTCCTCCTCCTCCTCCTCCTCCTCCTCCTCCTCCTCATTGGATTTTCGACAAAATCGCCATGGTGCAGGCGGGCAACATCATCCCGAGCGTTGTGATCATCAAGACCCGCCAGAAGAAGGCGACGAAGGTGTGAAGCCCATCGAGGGCTAGCTTTGAGAGGGGGGCGGGCGGGCCAAGGGGGGGGGAACCGCTCCCTGCCCCTTCCCCGACGCGTCTCGGGCCGTCCTGGGTCCGGGGCCTTTTGGTGGCCCCCTCGCTTTGCTTTTGGCCCTTTGTGGGCCGCTGCTGGGCCTTGGTGGCTTGGCGTGCCGCGTCGGGCGCAAGGGTCGGGTGCGGTTCGTCCTCCTGGCCGCGGCCGCGTGGCAGGGGCAGGGAGAACCTGCCCGCATCATCAGATCCCTCAGATCCCTCCTCCTCCTCCTCCTCCTCCTCCTCCTCCTCCTCCTCCTCCTCCTCCTCCTCCTCCCCCTGCCGAAGTTATTTTGGCTCATGCTTGCCTGGGCGCGTGGCGGGCGGCGTGCGGCGTGTCTCTCCCTGTCGAGCCCTGTCGTTTCGGCATGCGCAGAAAGCGGCTCAGTCTCTTTCCCCCTCGTCCTCGCGGCCTCTGGCAATGGCTGCGGCTGGCTGCACGGCTGCCCCTCTGGCAGCGGAGCAGCCGCGGCACGCGGCGGCGGAGCTGCCCGTCGGCGTCGGCGGCCTGGCCCGTGCGGCGTGCTGGGCAGGCGGCGGCCCGCGCTGCCGGCGCCGGGCGGCTCCAGGCGGCCCTCACCCGAGTGGCCGACCTCGAGGCCCAGTGCGCGCGCCTCCAGGCGGACCTGGACCCCGCGCTGGTCGCCAGCCAGGCCATGGTCGCGGCGGCCGCGCATGCTGTTGCCCAGGGGGCCGACGGCGTCGTGGCCTCCCCCGAGGGCTCTGGCGTCATGGACGGCAAGCGGGACCCGCTGCTGCGCGCGGACGTCCCCGAGGTCGTCGCGAGGCTGGCGCTGGTCGCGCCCGTCATGGCGGCGGACCTCTTCAACGAGCTTGCGGCCACCCTGGACGTCGGGCGTCGGAATGTGGTCTGCCATCACCCGGCGGTCTCGGCGGCGGAGGTGCGCAGGCTTTCGCAGCGTGCGCTGAATCGCCTGCAGCGCGCGTCGGCACAGCGCCTTCGGCGTGGACAAGGAGGTCGCGGTCCTGGTGTTCTGCATCGTGTTGCTCTTGCTGTCCTACGCCCTGCTGGTGCTGGTTTTCCGTTGCGGCAGCGCTCGGGCGCGCGTTGTGCTCCTCGGAGGAGTTCCGCGCCTGCCCCGCCGCGCCGCCTGCCTGCGGTGCGCGCCGCCCGTGAGGCGGCCCCGAGCGACTGGGCCATCGTTCAGGCCCGCCGCGGACGCAGTGCGCCGCCAGGCGCCGTCTTCGCGTTGGCCGAGCGTGCGAGACGGGCCACCGCGCCGAAGCTCTCGTCCCTGGCATCGGGAGCGCGTTGGTGGAAGTGGAGCGCCGAGGCGCGCAGCGAGGCTGGCGACGCCTCGTCTGACGCTCCCCTCGGCGCCCAGGTGGGCGAGGAAGGCGGCGCCGCTGCCTCCGCCGACGCCCGCCCTCCCGACCCTGCCCCCGTGGTCCTTCTGGGTGTGCAGGTCGGGAGCCTGCCGCAGGAGCTGGAGTGCACGGTCAACCCGTCTTCCAGCCCGCCTGCGAGTGAGCTGATGCACGAGGTGGCGCCCGACGCCCAGCCCAACGGCCAGTCGTCGCGCGAGCCCAGTGGTGGCGTGCTTCCTGATGCTGATCGCCCTCTGGCGGCGGCCGAGGCGGACATGCTGCATTTCCGCCTCGGCCGCCGCTAGAGGGCGATCAGCAGCCGCTGCCGAGGGAGACCTCGGCCGCTGCCGAGGGAGACCTGCATGTCACATGCAGGTCTCCCTCAGCAGCGGCGGTGTCCCCGTCGCGGCGGAGCGCAGCGTCAACCTCTTCGACCCGTACGACGAGCGGAGGTGCTCGGGAGGACCACGGCGGCTGCTGGCCCTCCAGCGCCAGTTTTTCCAGTCCGCGTGCCTCGACGAGAAGGCCGTCGACCTGGAGGAATTCCAGCACACGCTGTCCGGGCTCGAGCAGCTCCGAGCGGCCCAGAGGTCCGCCCAGAGGTCCGTCCTCGTCTCCAAGGCCAGGCGGGCCAGGCAGACGCTGCGCGGGAGGTGAGGGGGCCCGCTCTGGCCCGCTGTGTCCCCCTCGAAATCCTGGCTCGTGCGGCGCTCCTCGGCGTGGGTCTTGTGGGTGGTGCCGCCTGGGTCTCGCGCCCCGTGCGGTCTGGGCGGCCGCTGGCTGCTGCTGTGGTTTTCCCAGTGTTTGTCCCCGCGGGGGTGGACTCCGCCTGGCCTTGGTCGTCCGGTGGAAGGGCCGCGGTCGGGGCGGAAACTTGTCTGGGCTTCGGTCTGGGGGCTCCTCGTCGCCACGGCCCCCGTGGCTCGCGCGGGGCGGCGGCGCGCACCTGGCGGCGCAGAGGTCACCCGCCCCTGCGCCGAGTTGACACCTGGGGCCCTGGTGGTTGTCAGCGCGCTATCGGCCGCCAGGGCCTCCTTGATGACGCCCCATCCATCCATCCTCCTCCTCCTCCTCCTCCTCCTCCTCCTCCTCCTCCTCCTCCTCCTCCTCCTCCTCCTCCTCCCCCTCTTCCTCCTCCTCCGCCTCTTCCTCCTCCTCCTCAGAGAGGCCTGCGCGCCTCGTCGGGGAAGCCAACGCGGGCAGGAGGGAGGAGGAAGGCGGGCGGAGACTAGACGAGCAGACCCCGTCGCAGGGGCTCTTGATCAGATTCGTCCAGGCGCACTGGGCGCAGGAGGCTCGCTCCGTCGACAGAAGACAAAAATTAGCCGAAACACAAGACGGTGTCCCAGCATCTGGGTCTTGAGAGTGCGATCCTGGCGGGTTGTCTCGGCTACAGTCAACCCGCATAGTAAGTATGAACGACATTCCAAGGTTACCCTTGCATTCTTCCCCTTCGGCCCATCCTTGGCCACTTTCGCTGGCCGCGCCCAGCTCGAGAAGTGTCGGCACGGCTCTCCAAGGCCCTGGCATCTGTATCGCGCGTCCTTAAAATGCGGGTTGACTGTACCTCGGAGGTGGGGGGATAGGATACATCAGAGGAGGGGGAGGGAGGGGGAGTCGATTCGACGGCCGTGGTCCCTCCGATATTCGTGATGCTGTCCTCGGTGGGATCGAGTATTGTGTCCACAACTTCCGACGCCATCGCTCCAAGCCGAGCTGGAAATTCCAGTGCATCTGATACCATGTGAAACTTCTGTTTATGCGCCTGCTGCTGCCAGAAAGGATTCTCGTTTAGCTTCGCGCTTTGCTTTTGATCTTCTGGACAAGGATCCCTCGGGCCCCCAGACGAAGAGGAGAGGAAGAGTAGGAGTCGGAAGAAGAGGAGGATCTTGGTGAGGAGGGGGTAGGATAAAAGGGAGAGAGGGGGGGGGGCGAATTTGAAGGTCCTGGTGTCTGGGGGGTGTCGGAATTCTAAACGGTTCCAGATTTCAGGTGCCCCGGTGGGCGAGCATGAGGATCCCAAAGTTGCTGAGGAACAGGAGTATGTGATAATGATGATGGCGACGATGACAAGGATGATGGTGATGCTGTTGCTGAAGCTGCTGATGCAGATGTGTGGTGAGTGATGATGGTTGTGATGATGCTGATGATGCTGATGACGACGTGGATGATGCGATGATGATGGTTGAGGGTGTTGTTGATGATGATGATGATGTTGATTATGATAATGATGATGGCGACGACGATTATCATGTTTATGTTTATGATGGTGGTGGTGATGGTATTGGTGCTGGTGATGCTGATGATGCTGTTGCAGGTGATGCTAGTGGTACTGATGATGATGTTGATGGTGTTGTTGCTGCTGCAAATGATGATGCACATGAGCATGATGATGTTGATGCTGATGACTATCATGATGCTGATGAGGATGACTGATGATTACGATACTGGTGCTGATGATGATGCTGATGATTGTGATGCTGGTGGTGATGATGATGATGACGAAGACGACGACGATGACGATGGTGATGATACTGATGATGATGCTGATGATGACGATGATGACTGTGATGAAGATGATGATGATGCTGATGATGATGATGATGATGATGATGATGGAGTTGGTGATGGTGATGCTGCTGCGGATGGAGTTGCTGATGAAGATGATGGTACTGGAGATGCTGCTGCTGTTGATGGTGAGTATGGGCATGGTGATGAGGAGACTCATGATGACGCTGATGATGATGCCAATGATGATGAATATGATGATGATGCTGATGTCGATGTGGAGGATGCTGATGATAATGATGATGATGATGATGATGATGGCGATGATGATGATGCTGATGGGGACGATGCTGATGACGATGTTGATGATGATGGTCATGGTGATGGTGATTGTGATGGTGATGTTGCTGATGATGACGATGTTGCCGATGATGATGATGATGATGCTGATTATGCTGACGGTGATCAGGCTGCTGTTGTTGATGACGATGGTGGTCATGGTGCTGACCATGATGCTGATGCTGATGACGATGGTGATGATGATGCTGATGATCGTGATGACGATGATGTTGATAATGATGATAAGTGGGGGGAGGAGGAGGAGGAGGAGGAGGAGGAGGAGGAGGAGGAGGAGGAGGAGGAGGAGGAGGAGGGGTAGGGGGGCGACTGGCTGTGTTTCACGGGGCCAAGAGGTTATAACACGAGAACTCCGGGGGGGGAGGGGGAACAGGAGAAGGAGGAAGAGGAGGAGGAGGAGCAGGAGGAGGAGGAGGAGGAGGCGGACGAGCACGATCACGATAGCGAGGACGAACACGTCGACGAGGTTGGGACGGCTGGCTTGGGTTTCAGGTGGTCGTGGGAATGTTCTGGGATGTCTGGTTGGTTATGGGAAGTTCTGAGCGGTTCTGGGGATGGGTTACAAGGCGGGATGTGGGAGGTGGAGGTCGATGAGGACGGGGAAGATGGTGAGGATGGCGGTGGTGATGATGATCATGAGTGTGGTGATGCTGCTGGTGCTGCTGCTGTTGCTTCTGCTGCCGACGACGATGATGATTGTGATGCTGATGAGGAGGAGGAGTAGGAGGATGAGAAGGATGATGGTGCTGATGCTGCTGATGATGATGATGATGAATGATGATGCTGATGATTGTGATGCTGGTGATGACGGTGACGATGAAGATGGTGATGATAGTGATGACGATGGCACTGATTAGGCTGATGATTCGTATGATGATGCCGATGTTGATGCTGATGGTGGCGATGACGCAGACGATGACGATGGCGATGATGATGATGCTGATGATGATGATGCTGATGCTGATGTTGATGCTGATGACGACGATGCTGATGATGTTGATTATTGTTATTACTGTGGTGGTGGTTGCGGTCGTGCTGCTGCTGATGATGGCGATCATGATCGTCATGATGATGATGATGATGATGATGATGATGATGATGATGATGATGATGATGATGATGGTGATGACGACGATGTTGTTGCTGCTTCTGCTGCTGATGATGATGCGGAGGAGGAGGAGGGTGAGGATGAAGACGAGGGGCCAGAGGAGGGGGAGGAGGAGGAGAAGGAGGAGGATGAGGAATTGACCGTGGAGGGGGGGCGCATAATGGGCACCGAGTCGCTAAGTACTCCGAGGTCGCCCAATATTGCCGAGCACGTTCACGCGCCACCACGTTTGCCTGTCAACCCGTTGCTTCAGTGCAGTCGCAGGGGTGGATGGGTTTGTAGGCTGTCTGTCTGCTGCAGTCAACCCGCATAGTAAGAATGGGGAACCTTCCCAGGGGTACCCTTGCATCCTTGCCTCCTCGGTCCATCCTCGGCCACTTTCGTCGGCCGCGCCCCGCTCGAAAAGCTTCGAACTGGGCGTCAAATGCCCTTGCATCCTTATCGCGCATCCTTCTGATACGGGCCGACTGTATGCAGTAGCATTTCTGTACCACTCATGCCGTCCTCCTGGGGACGCCCTTGCTGACCCTTCGAAATCGTTCGGCGGGTATCCCAGGAGGCCTTATCGTTTCTATGGATGTAGTCCCTCATTCTTCAACCCTGCTTTGCCCAAACCCATCGCCAAGAACGAGGAGGAAAGGGGATGAGAAGGAGGATATATTGATGAGGAGGCAGTATGGGGGACAGCTGGGGAGGAGCCAGAAGGAATACCATGAAGGAGAAGGAGTGTGGGCGAGAAGAAGGATGAGGAGGATGCAGGAGGGAGAAGGCGGATGAGGAGGAGGAAGGAGTAGGAGGGGTAGACGAAGAGGGGTAGGAGGATGACGAGGAACAAGGCCCGGGTGCAAGGATGAGGGGGAAAGAGGAGGAAGGAGGAGGAAGGAGGATAATGACGTCGACGACGACGACGTCCACGACGCCCGCGGCGACCCCAAGGAGACGGCCGAGACCAGCCGCAGGGGCAGGCGGCGCGCGCGCGCGACGTCAAGGGGGCGCTGCTCCGGCTGTTCCGCCAGCGCGAGTGCGTCGGGCTGCCCGCGGACAACTTGGACAGCCGGGGGGGGGCCGCTGAGACGTTGGTAGACCACTGGAAGAGCAGCACACACATGTCTCTATACGTAAACATATATTCATATATCTGCATTTACAATCGCACTTACATACACATACGTATCGATATGTGTGCACAAGCGTATTTGTTTCTGTGTATATGTGTATGTATGGCTACGTATACACGTATAGAGATCGATGCGTCAATATTTATGTATATACATGTATACAAGCAGTAGTGCCGATGCATGTATATACGTATGTGTTGACCTACACCCATCTATAACTGTTTACGGGTATGTGTACATGTGCATGGGTATACAGATCGAACTACACATTTCGATGTTTATATAAGCCCTAGGTGCATATCTTAGACACATGCATATTTAGGTGTGTAACCCTATTCATACATATAAGCACCAGTGGGTGTACAGATCGGCATGTCTAACGATAAGTTTGTACATCTAGCTAGGTATACGCATTTATCAACACATGTATGTATATACCTACTCATATGTACTGGTCTATATATATATATACGTATGTATACACATTTGTGTTTCTGAGTATATCTCTACATGTATATATATATGTACATTCACCTGCGTATACACACGCATGTTAATGTTTGTTGGCTTATATTTAATTGGTGCTGTCTATACGTATATATATATAAAAATATACATATGCGCATCTGTGTGTGATCATCAGCATCCTCCAGTCTGTCTGAAGGAGGGCCGTGAGGGTCGCTTGACTTGAGGCAGAACGCTTGCGAACAAAATAATGGGGGCAGTGTCGATCAGGAGAGCCGAGATGGGGACGGACATGTCCAAAGGCGCCCGTGAGGGCCCCCAAGAGAGCCCACCAGGCCTCCCGACAGGGTCTCTTCCAGCCTGGCCGAAGGCCACACTATACATTACGTACACCCTGCAAACAGTATGGGCTGGCGGAGTGAGCGAAGCGATGGACTCATGGGGGCGAGTGCAGCCCGACAGCGGCCGTTGTCGGTTTTGGCCGACATGTGTTGCTGGGCATCGTCCCCACTCTAGCTGTCACCAGGCATCCGAAGCTCAGGCCAGGACGACGACGACGACGATTACGTTTTGGGCCGTTTGGGGGCCTCCTGGGGGGCCCCATCGCCACGGATCCGCCTCGGAATTGCTGTCAGAACCCACTCCGAGATAGCTCTGGGGCTCGATTTGGAAGGAAGAAACTTCGATCTCCAGGCGCTGCGAACACAAGGAGCCGAGAATCATGCCCTACACTTGGCAGGCTCATCGGGAGGAGGAGGAGGCGGAGGAGGAGGAGAGGGAGGGAGGGTAAGTAGAAGTAGGGTGGTATCCAGGAGAAGACGAAGAAGGATGGAACGAGGCTGTAGGAGGAGCAGGAGGAGGAGGAGGAGGAGGAGAAGGAGGAGTCAGCGAGTTTCAGGAAGTGTGTCTTGGAGCAGCCCGCCTTCGGAGCCGGGGTGGCATGGGAGTTCTGTGGACAAGAGGCTGTGCATTCTTCTGTTGCGTGGTGAACTGGATAGTGTTGGGACGCTGCGTGGATCGTGGCGTAAATGGTGACAGCTGGGGGGGGTAGATGCTCGTTTGGGGGACTTTCCTGGGGTTCACCTATCGGATCTGTTTGACTCCAGTTCGACGCAAGTTCGGCTCAAACCGACTCAAGTTCGATTCAGGTTCGACTCAGGTTCGACTCAAGGTCGACTCGAATCGACGGGCGTTCGACGCAGCTTCGATGCAGGAGTGGAGCGAGTGTCTCCAGGAAGGTCTCCAGGATCAGCATCCAGAGTGGAAGCTGGTGGAGGCTCACGCAGTTTCCGCTGCGGCAGCTGCGGCGCCAGAGGCTGTCGTACAAGAGCCCCTCGGTTCCTCAGTTTCGGATCGAGGAGCGGTCGTGCCTAAGGAATTCCAGGTGGACCAGGCCATTCTGCCAGGAGACGGGTGGGTCATCTCTGCTTCGTGAGATCGAGATGTGCAGAAGTGCCAGACGCGCATCAGAGAACACGTGTTCAGCAACTGAAGCAGTTACGTGTCATCGAATGTCGTCGTGGAGGTATCTCGGAGGGGACTACGCGCGTGGCAAGCCAGCGTTGAGACATTGTTGGGGCGGAATTGTTTGAGGGCTGCTGGACAGAAAGCCAGTCGGATGAGGGAGGTCTACCCTGGATCTCGCAAGCGTGTTGCTGCTGAGACGGTTGCCCGTCCTGGCGCTGAAGCAGGCGTCGTGTATGGGAGTTCGGTCGTGGGTACGTTCAGCTTCGATCCCGGCCAGTCGCGCAGCCTGACTTTCGACGCGACCGAACCGCGCGGTCACTGCATCGCGCGAGTTGGTACTGGTGCAAAGTTGCAGGACACTCTGAAGCTGCGCCCTGGGGCCAAGCCCACCAGAGGCAGGCAGATCGTTGTGGTGCATACTGGGATTGGCCACGGGCTCCGCGTGCCCCGTCCCGTGGCCGCGGGCCGCCCTGGCTCGGTCGCGCGTCGGGCGCTGGAGGCCAATCGGTTGATGTAGTCAGCCCGCATAGGAAGGATGGGAACCCTTCCCAAAGGGTACCCTTGCATCGCGCCCCTTCGGCCCGTCCTTTGCGACTTTCGCTGGCCAGCCTCGCTCGAACAGCGCCAACGTGGCCCTCCAAGGCCCTTTGTATCCTTACCGTGCATCTTTCTGATACGTGTTGATAGTAGTCTTGAGGGAGGCAGCGGTCCACAAGCGGGTTCCGATTCGCACCCCGCTGGTGGCCGACCGCCCAGATTGTGCGATGGACGCGCGTTCGAGCGGTGCCGCGAGCAGCTGCCAGCTCGTGCCCCTCCTCCGCGATGGCAGGGTCCGTGGGTTCCATGGCGATCGCGCCCGTCGGCGGATGGAGGAGGGCATCGTGCCTCACGCGAAACGGTGAACGCTGCGACTGCAGTAGCTGCGGCCGGGTAAGTTGGGGCTCACATACGTGTGTCTCAGCGCTTCGGCAAGCACGGGAGAGAGGGGGAGGAGGGAAGGGAGGGAGATCTGGAGGAGTCGGAGGGGAAACACGAAGAGAGCACGGGTTGTAGGATGAGCTGGAGGAGTAGCAGGAGATCGAGGAAAAGGAGAAGGTCGAGGAGGAGCGTGAGCAGGAGGATGCAAGACGGGAGAATGAGGAGATCTACGTGAAGAGGCGGATGTGTGAGGGTGATGCGGCGGAGAAGGATGTGAGGGAGGAGGGCATCTAGGGCAGGAAGGAGTGACTGTTAGGACAAGGACGGGGACATCTTGACCTTGACCTTGATTCACCCTGAGCGCCATCCTGGTCGGACTTGGCCGTGCACTATGTACGGTCATGCTGCAAAAGCTCCGTTGACAATATGCTGATTCGATTGTCCCTGGACATGGTTGGGTGAGCCTGCCGGAGCGGAACTCCCTCGAAAGCTGAGCCTCGCGGTGACGAGAAGAGGAGGAGAGGAACACGAGGAGGAGGAGGGGCTGCGACGAGGGGGGTCTCTCCGCCACTCCGCCACCCCGCCGCCCCAGGGCATCGCCGCGGCGGGGCTGCGGGCTGTGCTGGCGGAGGCCTGCGCGGCCAACCCGAAGGCCCGTCGCGGTCGGCTCGCGGACCTCAGGCCTCCAGGCCCCCGCATGCCTGCATGGGGCGTCCAGGGCGGCAGGGGCCTCCAAGGCTGTGTGGCCCCGGAGGCCTCCAGGCCTGAAGCCTCGAGCAGGCCCGGCTCTCTCTGGGGCTTCAGGCCCGGGATGCGGGGTGGCTCCAGGCTTTTTGGGGGCGGGGTGTGGGGCATCCTCGCCCGCAGGCTTCCACGGGGGCTCCACGAGGGGTGCGGCGCCCGAGACAGCGCCGCCGCTGAGGCTGAGGCTGCGGCTGGGGGTGAGATGAGCTCGGGACGCTCCATGGGCTGCAGCTGGAACCAGGGCGAGAGAAAGACCTGGTTAGCTTCGAAGGGTTGATGTGATGTGAACTCGGCGACGCAGCCTTCAGTCTCTCGAGCTCAGTAACGGGTAGGGAGTGGAGCCCGCAGCTGGCCATCGTTCTGGTGTCAGCGGGGGAGCGGAATCTGAAGCGGACCCGGTAGCTCAAACCAGTGTTTGAAGCAGAGCGGGCAAACCAGAGTTCGAGCCAGTTTTAATCACCCATGATGTCACTACTTATTGGTTGTCACTACTTATTGTGCTAATGCTACAGATTTGGTGCGCGTCCAGTCGAACGCCACGTCGACATCCAGACAGCGTGCTGGGATGGCACACGGACGCGTCTAGATCCAAGCTTGGCGTGCAGATGTTGCCCACACACGTAAGCCACACTTCAGGTCGGAAGCTACATGTAGGGCTAACATGCGGCGCAGGGGAAAACATAAGGTAATATACACACGCACATATCGACAATGGTATTCTCATCAGTAGCTTGCACACATTCTGACGTGCGGAAGCGAAGGCTCGGCATGCGTTGCATGTTAGCCAGCGTGGGCCCAGAGCAGTAATTTATTGCACTGCGGATGCCTAAGCTATGTGATGCAAGCTATGTGGTGCAAGCTATGTGGTGTAAGCGATGTGATGCAACTAACCCTGCCGAATTTGAAGTTGTCAACCCCACTGCTCGCGCAACCATGTCACCTACCCACCCACCCTCCCGCAACTTGGCTTGTAAAACCCGTACGGCGGCGATTGCCATGACTGCTGAGTGCTGTCGGGCTCATCGTTGCGGCCGCGCTAGTGCGCGCAGTCTCCCGCGAAGAGCGGCCAGCTAGTTTTGCGCGACCGATGCGGCCGCGGTGGCGCTGACCTCTGGGCACTTCCCAACGCGTCTCGCAGGCCGCGCTGACGCGCGGGCACTTCAGTGCGAGTCGGTGACTCGGGCGGGCGCGATATCATGGCGACGCCGGCAACGGCAGACACGATGATGATAATAGCAATGCTGGTGGCGACGCTGACGTCGACGACGGCAAGGCAAATGACGGCGCCGATGTTCACCACGCCGATGACGATGATGGTGTCCACGCGTCGGTGATGAAGATTTTGGAATGATGTCGGCATGCGCGCGCGCGGCCGACGCGCGCGAGCAGCCCGCATGGTGATATTTGACAGGATTCCTGCCCCCCAGCACGCGCGCAAGGGCATCCACATGATGCCGGCATCCGCGTGAGCGCGCGAGAAACCGGTTTGGCTGCAATTGCTGCGCGTGTTGAACAAGCGCTGGCGTTCGTAAAAATGCGCAGGGGCGCGCGCGCAGGCCTGTTGTGAAACATCCATCTTGCTGAATCGCGCGTTGTCTTCCCCAGCCATCTTGTGGTGTTGGGCCCTCGTTTTGAAGAGACACCGCCCCGCGTTTGGCTTCCTCTCCTCATCCCCCTCATCCTCCTCCTCCGCCTCCTCCTCCTCCTCCTCCTCCTCCTCCCCCATCCATCATCCATCCTGTATTCAGCCGTGCTGACTCCATCCTCCATCCTGTTCCATGTCGGCACAACCCTCACACACTTCGTGGCCCCATGTACAGGCCCCAATGGCAGGGTTCGCATGCGCCCCCCCTCTCCCATTTCGGCACGCCCCTCACACTTCGCTGCCCATAAGGAGCTCCGCCGAAAAAAAAAAACAGTGGCAGGGTTCGCGTGCGTCCCCCCGCCAATGTCGGCACACCCCTCGCACGCTTCGTGGCCCCATGGAGGGCTTCACCGAAGGCCCCAGTGGCAAGGCTCGCGTGCGTCCACCCGCCCATGCCGGCACACCCCTCACACGCTTCGTGGCCGTATAGGGATCTCCACCGAAGGCATAAGTGGCAGGGTTCGCGTGCGTCCCCCCGCCCATGTCGGCACACCCTCACACGGTTCGTGGCCCCACAGGGTTTTCCACCAAAGGCCCCGGTGGAAGCATTCGCAGGCGTCCCCCCGCCCCCTTCGGCACACCAGAACGCCCCGTGGCCCCATACATAGGGGGCTCCACAGAAGGCCCCAGTGGCAGGGTTCGCACGCGTACCCCCCGCTCATTTCGGCACACCCGTCACAGGTTTGGTGGCCCCATAAGGAGTTCCACCGAAGGCCCCAGTAGAAGGGTTCGCATGCGTCCCCCCGCCCATTGCAGCCCCCCCCCTCGCACGGTTCGGTTCGTGGCTTCACAGGGTTCGCATGCGTCCCCTTGCCAATTCCGGCACACCCTTCACAGGCTTCGTGGCCCCATAGAGTGCTCCACCGAGGCCCCAGCGGCAGAGCTCGCACGCGTTCCCCCCGCCCATTTCGGCACACCATCACACGCTTCGTGGCTCCATATGGAGCTCCACCGACGGCCCCAGTAGCAGGGTTCGCACGCGTCCCCCCGCTCGTTTCGGCCCACCATTGCACGCTTCGCGGCTCCATAGGAAGCTCGTGGCGACGTTCTCACGCGTCCCCGCCAGCTATTGTCGGCACGCCCCCCGCACTGTTTGTGGCCCGTATGGAGCTCCGCCTAAGGCCCCAGTGGCGACGTTCCAATGCGTCCCCGCCGCTCATTTCGGCACGCCCTTTGACACGGTTCGTGGCCCAATAGGGAGCTCCATTCAAGGCTCCAGTGGCGGCGTTCCCATGCGCCCCCGCCGCTCATCTTGGCACACCCCTCACGGGGTCCATGGCCACGTATGGGAGTTCCACCGAAGGCCCCTGCGGCGGCGTGCCCATGAGGCCCCGCCGCCCATGTCGGCACCCCCCCTCACACGGTTCGTGGCCCCATAGGGAGCTCTCCACCGAAAGCCCCAGTGACGACGTTCCCAGGCGTCCCCGCCACCCATGGTCGGCACGCCCCCCACACGGCTCGTGGCCCCATAGGGAGCGCCGTCGAAGACGATGTCCACAATTGCGGCGTTCACATCTGCGAGTGGTTGGGTTCTTCGCCACGCTAATTCATATGTTTCCGAACGTTCGATCTTGAGCCCCATACGCAACTACGCTGTTTTGCAGGAGTTCGGCATGCGCGCGCAACGACGCGCGCGTGTGCACTTCGGTTCGTTGTTTCTATCAAGGGCTTCTGATATGTAATGGCTGAAATTTAATGACTGTTGACAGACGAGTGTGCGCGCATAGTTGTTTCCCAACCAACCTGTTGTTGGATCCTCGCTGTGAAGAGACCGCGCCCCACGTCTCTTCCTCTCCTCCTCCTCCTCCTCCTCCTCCTCCTCCTCCTCCTCCTCCTCCTCCTCCTCCTCCTCCTCCTCTTTCCGCCCCCTTTGGCTGCTCTCGCATGCGCTTTCCCCACCCGGTACAGCGCTTTGTGCCCCCCTAGGGATCTCCACCGAAGGACTCAGCGGCTGCTCTCGCATGCGGTTCCCCCGCCCAGTACAGCGCTTCGTGGCCCCACAGGGCGCTCCATCGATGGCCCCAGCGGCTGGTCTTGCAGGCGGTTCCCCCGCCCATGACAGCGCTTCGTGGTCCCATAGGGAGCTCCATCGAATGCCCCAGCGGCTGCTCTCGCATGCGGCCCCCACCCAGTACAGTGTTTCGTGGCCCCATGGGGAGCTCCACCTAAAGCCCCAGGGGTTGCTCTCGCATGCGGTTCCCCCGCTCCATACAACGTTTCGTGCCCCCCACACGGAACTCCAGCGAAGGCCCCAGCAGTTGTTCTCGCACGCGGTTCCCTCACCCAGCACAGTGCTTCGTTGCGCTATAGAGAGTTCCACAGAAGGCCTCACTGGCGGTGTTCGCATACGGTTCCCCGGCCCTATACAGCGCTTCGTGGTCCCATACGAAGTTCCACCGAAGGTCTTCCGTAGCCATTTTGGCTCAAGCAGCATTAGGCTCAAGTCTGAAGGACGATCGGCCAGCTGCCCTGAGGAACTTATATTACCGTCCACTCGTGAGAAGCATGTCGTCGCCGATGAGCAACAGTGCCACAGGCCGCAGGTGGAAGGGAATTCCAGTCCCGTTCTTCTTCCAGGAGGACTCTGCGGAGGCGTTCCACGAGATGGAGACGAAGGAGGATGACGTGTTTCTGTGCTCGCTGCCCAAGGGCGGGACAACGTGGGTCAATTCCATATTACACAGCTTGCTGTACGGCTTCGATGCCGCGGGTCAGAAGCAGGAGGAGGCTGAGGCGCGGCCAGGTGCGAAAGTTCAAGCGTACCCGGAGGCCACCCCGATCGAGATCGGCGCACTCGGCAACGCTGGCACCACAGCGTCGCAAGAGGAGATGCGCAAGACGATGTTCGGTGATTTCACGCTGTCCACGCTGCTAGGGCAGAGCTCACCGCGGCTGTTTTCGACTCACCTATATGGACACAAGTACTTGCCAGGCAAACTCGTGCAAAAAGACGGCAGAGGCCGCCTTGTCGTCGTCGTCCGAAACCTCAAGGATGTCATGTGTTCCCTCCACTTCTTCCGTGGTGAGCCGAAAGATGGTTGGCTTGGCAACGAGCTTGGGAAGGGAACATTTCGGCGCTTCCTTGATATGGAGACGCCGAACGCCTACGGGAATCAGTGGGACTGGCTCCGGGACACCGAGAAGGTTATTCAGGCCATGATGCCCGAGAAGCGAGTCATAGTTGTGTACTTTGAGGCATTGAAGCTACGGTTGAGGGCAGAAGTGCAGAGACTGGCGAGCTTCTTGAACATCCCTTGTCCCCAAGTGAAGCTAGACGCTGTCTGCGCCGCCGTAAGCTTCGGATCAATGAAAGAACGAAAATCGGTTGGCTCGATGCTGCTTCGGAAGGGCGACATCGGTGATTGGAAGAATCATTTGTCGCCGGCACTCTGGGATGAGTTCGACGCGGTTTTCAACCGCGAAGTCGGCAATTCCCTCCAGCTAGTCCAGCCGATGTACGTTTTCCAGAAGTCCGACGACAGGCAAGGTCTTCCGCCTAGGCGTGCAGATGCGGAATCACGGATCGTGACTGGCGGGGAGGACCCGCGAGTAGTTTTAGGAACGTTTGACCGGGCGAAGCTTGAGTGTGGCATGCTTTGCCCCGACACTATGATCACAAACTCTCCAGGAACATGGATCCGTCCCTCCAGCGAGGTTACGGACTTCGTCCACCCGCCGGGAGCGACGGACGTGAAGTATGTGGCTGAGAGCGATCGATATCACCTGTTTTTATCGGCCGTGTGTCCTTGGGCCAGTGGTATTCGCGCCGTGCGCAAACTTGCTGGCCTTGAGCATGTCATCTCCATGGACGTCGCGGATGGACAGAGCAGTCAGGGGTGGGTGTTCTTGTCCGGCTCGGCGTGCGCGGACTTCGACCGGGAGCCCTTCTGGTTGCACGAGGTGTACACGGCGCACGACACGGAGTACACAGGCCGTCTCACCGTGCCTGTCTTGTGGGACAAAAAGACTTCCCAGATCGTCACCAACGACTCCTGGAGCATCCTCAAGATCTTGGGCTCCAGCTTCGCTGGCCTCGGGAGCCCTCTCGCGGGTCTTCCCCTCGACCTCGCCCCCTCGGCGGAGGTGGACGAGCTGCAGAAGGACATCTACGACGGCCTGCTGAACGGCGTGTACAAGTGCGGCATCAACCTCATGCGGGGGAACGCGAGTGGAGCCCAGGGCGCTGCACGCGGCGTATACGACATGCTGGCCGCCCTCGAGGACCGCCTCGCCAACCGCGGGCCCTTCCTCCTGGGCGATAGGCTCACGCTGGTCGACGTGCGCCTGCTCATGTGTCTGCTGCGATACGACATCGCTTACCGGGACGGGTTCGGACTGGGATCGGGGGATCGAGGGCCGGTCATCCCCTCCCGGAGAAGGGCGACGACTGTCATCCTGACGGCGCTGGAGGGCCTGGCGGGCTACAGCGGGAGCAACAACAATGGGAACGATGAAGCGCGCAGCGGGTATCCCGCGTTGGCCGCCTACTTGCGGCGGGGAGTGAAGATGTTCCGAACCGAAATTGAATTTTCGGCCTGCACTCATTATTATCGCTGGGCTGTAGGGCTGCCCCAGGCCTGCGTCTTCCCAACCGATATGCAGGCGTTCGTCGAGGCAGTTGACGCCTCGTAGAGTATGCGTATGGTGGGCTACTGTGCAGTTTGTTTGTGCATGCATTGCGCACACAGACACTGACACTGACACCGACACACACAGACATCGGTCCTCCGCAATGCTCGTTCCTCCTCAACGTGCTTCGCCAACCGATTTGACAGCTCGTGCATTCTATTAAATGACAGCTCTATTCTTAGAGCATGCTCGTCCTGCCGTAGTGCCTAGGCCTCCGTCTGGGGTGTGGCCTCGGAGTGCGATGAGGCGGCAGATTCGGTTGTCTGCGACGTATGCGTTCTCTACCTTGGTTGTAGTGTTTTCGCTGTATGGGGCTATGGGAGGGCATCACATCATCCTCCTCATCCTCATCATCATCATCAGTGACAGGTTGCTCGGAAGTTGTTCTCGAGTGCGCGCGTGGGTTCTAGGTTGCGTGAAGTGGTAACACACATGTTGTAGAGAAGGGCTTCATACGCCCGCCAGGCCTGGTACTGTTTCCGCTCCCAGGTTGCGGTATTGCATTGTAAGCTACGGCGTGCGGCACACCTCGGCAAGCATGCTGGACCAGGTACGCGATCTTGTCGCTCGCGTTCAGTTTGGCCGCACTTGGCACTGATATAGTGTGAGGCTGGTAGGCGATTGTCACATGTTCCTTGTCCATGGGACATCATCACACGCACTTTGTGTGCATCGAAGCTCAGACGCATCGTGTGCGTTGTATGTTGCAGTCTGAAAGCACATGGGTCCGATTTGCCACGGTCTCCCATATCAAGTCGCCGTCGCGGCTTCTGGCTCTCCAGCTGCTTATACTTGGTGGAGGATGTCCCCAAACAGGTCCTCCTGAAAAGCGTAGGTTTTTCTGTGGCACGGCTTATTTTTCTTGCAGTTGTTGATGTATCATTTTCCGGCTTGGTATGAGCGAGCTCGCCTCTTTGACGACACGTTCGGCCGCAGAGCGCAGGCTCGACACGTGCGCCATTTCGAACAAGAGGTTTTCAAAAAAAAAAAGTTCCACCGAAGGTCTCATAGGGAACTCCAGCGAAGGCCTCAGTGGCGGTGTCGCATGCGGCTCCCCTCACCCAGTACAACGCTTCGTGGCCCCATGGGGAGCTCCAGCGAAGGCCTCAGTGGCGGTGTTCGCATGCGGTTCCCCCACCCAGTACGACGCTTCGTGGCCCTATAGGGGGCTCCACCGAGGCCAGAGTGGCGGTGTTCGCATGCGTCTCTCCTCACCTTGTACAACGCTTCGTGGCCCCATAGGGAGCTCCAGCGAAGGCCGCGAAGTAGAGCGCTTGGTGGCCATATATGGGGGGCTCAGTGGCGGTGTCCGCACGCGTCCCCACCCCCACCCAGTACAGCGCTTCGTGGCCCGATAGGGAGCTCCACCGAAGGCCTCAATGGCAGCGTTCGCATGCGTCGCGCCAACCCAGTACAGCGCTTCGTGGCCCCATAGGGAGCTACACCTACGGCCCCAGTGGCGGTGTTCGCATGCGTCTCCCCCACCCCGAACGGCACTTCTTGGCCTCATAGGGCGCTCCATCGAAAGGCCCCATTCGCGGCCCCGCCCCATTGCGGCGCATAGCTCACACGTTTCGCGGCCCCCATAGTGGGTCCCCCCTGAAGCCCCAGAGGCAGCGCTCACATGGCGGCCCCGCCCCATGTCGGCACATGCTTCATGGCCCCATGAGGGGATCCCCCCAAAACGATACCCGCAACGACGGTATTCCCAACTGCATATGGTTGGGCCGTTCGCCGCGATACTTTTCAGAAGATGATGGGGGGGGGACCCGTTTTAAAGTTGCGATGGTACGGATTCAGATTCATAGTCAGATTTCGAATGAACAGTGGGGCGAAATCGATTGTGCACTGCACATCCCCAGGGGGAAGGGATAATCCCGGGGTGGTGGTGGTGGTGGTATATCGTCATTCGTTAAAAAAATGCGAATGTACGTGGTGGAAGCTAGAGGCGGCAACGAAACGGCAACGGGCGGCAACGTAGCGAAACTTCGCTGGACCCACCATGCGCACTTGGCGGCAACGAGGCGGCAACGGGCGGCAACCTGGCAAAACTTCGCCTGACCCACCCTTCGCATTTGGCGGCAATGCGGCGCCAATGGGCGGCAACGTGGCAAAGATTTGCCGGGCCCACCCAGCGCACGAGGCGGCAACGAGGCGGCAACGTTGCGAAATCTCGCCTAGCCCACCCAGAGGCGGCAACGAGGCGGCAACGAGGCGGCAACGGGGCGGCAACGGGCGGCAACGTGGGACACTTCGCCGGACCCACCCAGCGCTCGTGGAGGCAACGAGGTAGCAACGGGCGGCAACGCGGCGAAACTTCGCCGGACCCACCCGGCGCTCTTGGCGGCAACGAGGTAGCAATGGGGGTAGCAATGTGCGTCAACGTGGCCAAGCCTCGCTGGACCCATCCAATGTCGAGCAACGCAATGAAGAATTCCAAAGTGCAAGCGCTGTTCTGGGAATGACGGGACAAGCTTGCACAGCAACGCCGACAGCCAACGTCTAAACCGAGGTGTGAGCCTAAGAGCGAATTACCCTGCGACGCTCCCAGCCCTTCCAAAACACGCGGCGGCTATACTCAGGACCGCTCAATACGAACGAACATGTTGCAGGACCCGCAGTGCGCAGGAGACCTCCGTGCGCAGGGAGCCGCGACGTCTCGGCTGGATCTGCGTGGCCCTCCACTCCGTTGGACTTCCGAGGGGCCCGCGAGACTGGCGGCGGCTGCGCACGTCGCAGCCCCTCGTGGGGCCGCGAGATCGCGGCAGGATCTGCGCACTCCCCCACTCCGCTGGACCTCCCAGGAGCTGGCGAGAGTGGCGACAGTTGCGCACCTCGCAGCCCCCCCCCCCCCCCGCCAGGGAGCCGCCAGGTCTCGGCTGGATCTGCATACTCTCCCACTCCGTTCGGCCTCCCAGGAGCCCACGAAACTGGCGACGGTTGCGCACTTCGCAGTCCCCCAGGGAGCTGCGAGGTCTCGGCTGGGTCTGCCTCCCCCCCATTACGGTGGGCCTCCCAGGAGGCCATGAAAGTGGCCACGGTTGCGCACTCCGAAGCCCCCGAGTGGGCCGCGAGGTCTCGGCTGCATTTGCGGCATTTCCCCACTCCGCTGAACCTCCCACGAGCTAACGAGCGTGGCGACATCTGCGCACTTCGCAGACCCCCAGGGAGCCGCAAGGTCTCGGCTGGATGTGCGTACTCCACTCCGCCGTGCCTTCGAGGAGCCCACGAAAGCGGTGATAGTTGCGCACTTCGCAGCCCCTCAGGGAGCTGCGAGGTCTCGGCTGGATCTGCGCACTCCCTCATTCCGCCGGGCCTCCGAGGGGCCCACGAAACTGGTGTTCCGTTGGGCCTCCGATGAGCGCACTTCGCAGCCCCCCAGGGAGCTGCGAGGTCTCGGCTGGATTTGCGTACTCCCCCATTCCGTTGAGCTTCCCAGGAGCCCACGAAATTGGTGACAGTTTCGCAGCTCGCAGCCCCTCGGGCAGCCGCGAGGTCTCGGCTGGGTCTGCGTACTCCCCCGCTCAGCTGGACCTCCGAGGAGCCAACGAAACTCGCGAGAGTTGCGCACTTCGCAGCCCCCCAGGGAGCCGCAAGGTCTCTGCTGGGTCTGCGTACTCCACCACACCGCTTCCTCCCAGGAGCCCACGCAAGTGGCGACAGTTGCGCACTCCGCTGTCCCCAAGGAAACGCGAGGAGGAGGAGGAGGTCCTTGGAGACAACAGCGCTCGATTCAAGACGAGTGCCCAACACATCAGGGTTGGGAACAGTCATTCACCTGAAACTTGGAACGATCGATTGTACACCATATCGGGCTAGCAAGAGCAAGGTAGTAGGTAATCTCGAACGCAGCATCTAAGACGATATCCACATGCTCCTCTATCGGCTATTGATCATGGATGTTGATGCTGACGAGTCGCAGCTCCAACCGCAAAGTCTTAAGCTAGCTTTGAACACACATTCGGCTGGCTTCACAGTGAAGATGCAAGCAGCAGACGACAGTTTGAAGCGAGCGGCTCCAACGCTGGGCCTTGTGGCCAGCTGGGTATTGCCGTCGCTGTCGTGGTCTGACACTCCGCAGAGACCTGTCTCGTATTAACGTATGGCACGTTTGCACCCCAATGGTTTATGCATGCAGCGCGCTCCACTGTGCCTTCCAAGCCACGGTTCGCTGCATGCGTTCGCCGTTTGCAGTTTGGCTCATGCGATGATCTTCGTTTTGTCGCCGTCTTTCCGTCTCACGTTGTTGTGACAGTTCATGTTTCGAGAGACTCTCGCGGGTCGCATCCCTCATCTTCAGGAGAAACAAATTCGCAGGTTGTTGGAGGGCAGCCCCTGGACTGCACCTCCCTTGCGGCGCTGCTGGGGCAGCTGGTAGCGGCGATGAACGACAGGCGCGTCCTGAGTGTCAAGGCCAGGGCCGCCGCTAGTTCACCGCCGCCTCTCCGCCTCTTTGCCCCCATTGTTGGATCGTCTGGGCCACCTCTACGCGGATGGCACTGCGGGCTCGCATCTCGTGGCCTGGGCCGGAGGGATGTCTTTCTCTCTCTCTCTCGCTCTCTCTCTCTCTCTGTCTCCGGGGGAAGGCGCGAGGACGCGAAAATGACCGCAGCGCCAAGCGCGAAAGTTGGTGACCCAGGATCACAGGAACGAGGAATGCATTGGACTCGGGAAGGGGCCTGGTGGTCTTTTAAGTTTCCCCTCCGACTTGATTTGGGCAGAAAATATCCGATCCTCATCAAGGCTGCCTTGCAGCACTGATTTGACTACGAGTTGCCACAAGTTCACGCACCACTTAAGTACACATGTTTCTGGTCGCTGGGGTTGCCACCTCGTTGCCCAGATTGGACGCGCGCCGAAAAGCTGGTCCGAGTTCTGCATTGGAAGCGCTCGGCTATTTTTTTCGTGACTTTGAGTGAACCGTGCTGAGTCGTTGCGCGGCGTGCGCGGCCGAGTATGGCATCGTTCTCTTGCTCGCCCTCTCTCTGTCTCTGTCCCTCTCTCTCATAATTCCCTGCCAACCTTTCACATCCCGCCTCCCTCCCTTTCATCCTCCTCCTCCTCCCTCCCCTCATCCTGCCCGCTATTCGGCTGCCTGCGGCAAACGCCGACGCCGTCCCAGCGCAGCAGCGTATCAGGGAGCCGGTGCAAGACCCGCTCGCGTCCACTGTCCTGCCTGAGCTGGCGCGGGTCTCCTGCCTCGTTCTGCTCCTGGCTCCTCCCTCCTCCTCTGCCTCCTTCCCCGCCCGGTTAGGACCCGGGACAGGGATACAATCGTTCCAGAGTGTTCCAGCACGCTCTCAGAGCGCGCTCTTGAAGGCCGCGGCGCCCGATGCGTCCTCCAGAACCGCAGGATCTCCGAGAGATCCCCGAGTCACGCCTGGGTTAGCCCTGTCCTTGTTTCGGCGTTCCTCCCAACTCCCTCTTGGCGGCGTCTCGGGGCCGGCCTCTTGGGGCCCCCCTGAGGGCCTTCTTCTGGGGTCTGGTGTGGGGCTCTGTGGGAGTCTATCAGGGGGCCTTCAGGGGCGCCCAGGTTCTGCTGGTCTCTCTCCCAGAGCGCCTCCGAGGAGCCACTCTGTGGCCGTTTTTTGGTTGGGTCTCGAGGCCCTGCTCGAGCTCTGCTTGGGCGGTCTCGGGCAGATGTTTCGGCAAGACCCTTGTCCCATCCCCTGGCGAGAACGGGCGGGACCTGGGGGGGAGGGGGAGGGGGCGGAGGGGGACAGCCACGTCACGACTCGCAGCGGCGCATCCCGGGAAGGCCCAGGGATGGCGAGTTCCCGGACGGGGCTGGCACGAGTCGCGCCGCGACCAGGGGGGGGCGAGGCTCCCGGGCAGCCCGGAGGCTGCCCTGTGCGCGGCCGCAGGGCGCGCTGGGCGCCCGGAGCCTCGTGTTTCCCTTCTTCCTGCTTTCTGCCTCCTTCGCCTCCCCTTCCTCCCCCCCTCGCCCTCTCCTCCTTCTCCTCTCCTGTCTTCTTCCTCCTTCTCCTCCTTTCCTTCTTCCTGTCTTCCTCTCTTCTTCCTCCCTTCCCCCACCCCGGTCTTCTTCCTCCCTCTCCTCCCCCCCCGCTGCCTCTGCCGATGGATGGGCTTCGCATGGACGTCAAAAAGAAGATGTCATGACCAAGGGGGGGGAAGGAAGGAGGAGGGGTCGGGGCCGAACACGGGCGCTTCTGCGACACTACGAATGCGGGCTCCTGTTCGAGCTCTGCTTGTGCGGTCTTGTTCTTTTTTGTTGACAGCCACATTCGGCCGAAAACGATACGAAGCACCATAACCATATGTGTGGTATGCGCTCTTTGCGTTGCCCTCCCAGTGCCTCGCAGGATGCATCCTTTGGTATTTCTCGGACGCATCTTGGAGCCCTCGGGGAGTCCCTCGGCCGTCGCAAGCTGGTACTGGGGCCGTCTGGTTGGGACCCGTGGCTGCCCTGAAGCTCTCGCGGGGCAGTTTTGGCCCGATTTAAGGATCGTGTGTGTGGTGGCGTGGGGGGGGTCTCCGAAGGGCTTAGGCGACCCGTCCTCCTCCTCGTCCTACTCCTCCTCCTCCTCCGCCTCCTCCTCCTCCTCCTCCCTCCCTCCCTCCCTCCGAGCCCTTACCGGGCCTCGGGATCGTCACAAAAACGACTCAGGATGAAAAACTCGTCCCGGGGAATGGGACAAGACCTTTGGGGGTCGACGTTGTGAAATATCATGGCGTTGGTTGGTCTTCTTTTGACCATCTCACCATCGTGACCACCGGAACTGGACTACACGGCCGTGTACGACCACAGTGCGAGAGCCAGAGACACAGAATGCCACACAGGCCGACCTGCAAAAGGCAAAACCATGCAGACCACCTTGGCCTGGGAGAGCCAAAAACGGAGCTCCCCTCTCCAGGGGCAATTATCGTGTCCCGGATACATGTTTGATGGCCCCGGGTCCAGAGGGCAGCCCCCGGGAGGGAGGAGGATGAGGAGGAGGAGGAGGAGGAGGAGGAGGAGGTGGAGGAGGAGGAGGAGGAGGAGGGGAGGCAGGAGGAGGGGTAGGAGGAGGAGGAGGAGGAGCAGGAGGAGGAGGAGGAGGAGAAGGAGGAGGAGGTGGAGGAGGAGGGGAGGAGGAGGAGGAGGAGGAGGAGGAAAAGGAAAGGTTCCTATGGACGAGGACTGCGACAGCGACTACGATCCCGGGGGCCGAAATCGAAGAAGATTATCCTGGCGAAGGACCCAACCATACGCAAGTGTGAGAAACGCAGGGCAGGTGGGACGAAGCTAGGGGAATTCCCAATGGGGCCACGAACCGTGTGAGGGGTGCGCCAAAATGGGGCGAGGCCACCATGCGAACCCTGCCACGGGGGCCTTCGGTGGAGCCCCCTATAGGGCCACAAACCGTGTGAATGGTGCGCAAAAATGGGGCGGGGCCGCCGTGCGACCCCTGCCACTGGGGCCTTCGGTGAAGCTCCCTGTGGGGCCACGAACCGTGTGATGTGTGCGCCAAAATGGGGCGGGGCCGCCATGCGAACCCTGCCACTGGGGCCTTCGGTGGAGCCCTCAATGGGGCCACGAACCGTGTGAGGGGTGCGCCAAAATGGGGCGGGGCCGCCATGCGAACCCTGCCACTGGGGCCTTCTGTGGAGCTCCCAATGGGGCCACGAACCATGTGAGGGGTGCGCCAAAATGGGGGGGGGCGCCATGCGAACTCTGCCACTGGGGCCTTCGGTGGAGCCCTCTATGGGGCCACGAACCGTGTGAGGGGTGCGCCAAAATGGGACGGGGCCGCCATGCAAACCCTGCCACTGGGACCTTCGGTGGAGCCCTCTATGGGGCCACGAACCGTGTGAGGGGTGCGCCAAAATGGGGCGGGGCCGCCATGCGAAACTTGCCACTGGGGCCTTCGGTGGAGCTCCCTGTGGAGTCACGAACCGTGTGAGGGGTGCGCCAAAATTAAGCAGGGCCGACATGCAAACCCTGCCACTGGGGCCTTCGGTGGAGCCCCCTATGGAGCCACGAACCATGTGAGGGGTGCGCCAAAATGGCGCGCGGCCCCTATGCGAACCCTGCCACTGGGGCCTTCTGTGGAGCTCCCTATGGGGCCACGAAGCGGTGTACTGGGTGGGTGAAACGCAGGGAGGAGGGAGGATGGGGAGAAGGAGAGGAGCAGGAACGCGGGGCACCGTCTCTTCAAAACGAGGACCCAACACGACAGGCCGGTTGGGAACAAGGATCATATTCAATGATGGATGATGGGTGATGGT